GTTGCACTTTTTTGACAGATATTCCATTGAAAATTATGTCAAAAAGCTGCAACTAACTTTAAAGTCGACTTTATTTTGACTATGACTACGGGCCAGTCTGTTTGCAGAATTTTGTCGATTACTGGAGCCCTCAGTGTTGCTTACTACACTGTTGCCACTCTTCAATACCTTTTCATAAACTTACCCTTTCAACCACAATTTTTCGTGCAATAATAGATTGTAGCTAAATATAAACTACTTAGTTTTCAACAAAAACCTTATTCGATAGTAAATTTCACATATTTTAAACATATTTTGAATAGGAACTTATAACTTTTTTACCATCTGCAAAACTGACGAAGTGGCAACCATCTAAAGAAGGAGAAATCAGCTGACACGGAAAAATCTAAATTCCGCAGATTTCTGCTCTACGGGCTACAACTACAGAAAAATTCTGCGGTGTTGAGTTTTCATTTACATGGCGCTTTGGTAAGATATATCGTGTCAGCTGACTCGGGTTTACGTACCGGTAGGTTTACGTTCTTGACTAATTTCAGCTTATGAATAGAGGTAAATTTTAAGTTGGTACTTAAATTTAAGTTGCAACTTTGTTAGTTTCGACTTAGTTGCTGGATGTAGGGTTTGTATTTGTGTTATTACCTTTTATTGTACTGTGTTCATTTCAACTTTGTAATTTTGGAAATTTTAGATTTATGTGATTTTTGTGGTTCGTCAATCAAGCAGAAAATTTTCATTATTATTCAAACATTTTTCTTGCAACTGTTAACAAGCGAATTTTATACAATATTAAATATTAAATTGAATTTCTTTAAATCCTTGATTATGTACATCTGAAATTCTCATTTCGTGTTGGCAATAGCCAAGAAAACCATAATGAACGTGCAACCCTGTGCCAAACTCGACATAACCACCTCCGAGCAAACTAAGCAGCCGCCATTTAATTTGGCAAACAAAAGTTTGTCTGCATAACACCGACCTAAAGGGTGTAAAATTACCGATTTTGAGACAAAGATCGAACTGTTGTAGTACTATCGACGGTACTATCATTGCTATCGAATGGTTCTATTTTGACGTAGAATACGTCTTACGTTTCGATCACGGTTGCTGTTTTGGTCCAAATGGACCAAATTTGATCCATTTATTTTCGTTTGGTCCAGTGGTCCAATTCTTTTGAAAATGGTCCATTTCACAAGCCTTTGGTTAGGTTATTATCACCTTTTCACTTCATGCAATAGTTACGCATTTTACCGGCCGTCTTCACGTGCTGGAAAATCTCGCTTGCGAGCGGTATGCGAGCTCTCGCTTGCTTCCAACTGTCATTTTTGTTGTTTGACAGCTATGTTCTTATTTCGCAGAATTCTTCAGAGCAGCAACATCGTTTATCTTGGAGGCTAATGCAATTTTAGAGACAGCCATTTTTCATTTGAAAATAGTATACATCTCTTTATGCAGATTTTCTAATTTTCTCAAACTTTTAAGAGCCTGCAAGGCTTGTACCTTCGTGTTTGGCGACATTTTACAAATGAAAAAGTATGCTATCAAATGCCCAGTCAACAAAACTCTATCTCGCTTGCGAGAGAAAAAAGCAGAACGCAAGCGAGATTTTCAAGCATGTGATGACGGCCGGTAAAAGTGACGATACGGCCATCTTCAGCCATGTTACTGATGCGCTGACGAACGTCGACGATGACGATATTCAGATCTTCGAATATGGTATGGCTAATTATCTGTAAAAACACGCTTCAAAACATATCGAGGTTTCTTGCTAATTTCAATTAATCGGTGACCAATATTAAAGGGGCTGGCAATAATATGGATATTCGATTTCAATCGAAAATATTTTAAAAATCTTGAAATTATTACACCACAAAAAGTTCTTTCTGATACTGATGTATCAATTTTGCCGCTACTCGACCAATTTCCTGCATTGGTAAATGATGCGGACAGAATTGAATTTAAATTTCGCAAATTAGGGCTGAGTGCAGGTAACTTCAAAAACTATACCAACACAACGTTTTTGGAATCAAGTAAGTTTGATTAAAAATGCAGTGGGATAAGCGGCCTTTGAAGAATTGTGTGATTTAATTCATGACATTTTTAGTCTACTCACAGTTCGCAGCAGGTGAGCACAAATTTTTTGAATTAGTATTAGTAAAAACGAAATTAAGAAACAAATTATAATTTAAAACTTAAATAATATAATTTTTTAATATAAAATTTTAGTACTCCTTGGATGTAAAGTCAAAAAAAATCGTTATAAAAACTGAATTGGTATATTTTCTTGGTAAAAAGGAATAAAATCCACTCAATTTCCCGATGTAATAAAAATTGGCCCATTTTCTACCATTTGGTCCATTTTTTGGTCCGAAAAATAAATTGGAAATGGCAACCGGGGTTTCGATGTGGAGGCGCTGTCACTTCAACTGAAGTTGTTCACTTCACTTTGGAAGCCTTCACTCCAGTTTCCTTCGTTTTACTTCACTTTCCACAAATTAGATTTATCTCCAAAATAAACAAAAATTTTTTTGAAATGTATGACTTATTTCACCAAAATCAAAAATCTTTTTCTAANCAGCAACATCGTTTATCTTGGAGGCTAATGCAATTTTAGAGACAGCCATTTTTCATTTGAAAATAGTATACATCTCTTTATGCAGATTTTCTAATTTTCTCAAACTTTTAAGAGCCTGCAAGGCTTGTACCTTCGTGTTTGGCGACATTTTACAAATGAAAAAGTATGCTATCAAATGCCCAGTCAACAAAACTCTATCTCGCTTGCGAGAGAAAAAAGCAGAACGCAAGCGAGATTTTCAAGCATGTGATGACGGCCGGTAAAAGTGACGATACGGCCATCTTCAGCCATGTTACTGATGCGCTGACGAACGTCGACGATGACGATATTCAGATCTTCGAATATGGTATGGCTAATTATCTGTAAAAACACGCTTCAAAACATATCGAGGTTTCTTGCTAATTTCAATTAATCGGTGACCAATATTAAAGGGGCTGGCAATAATATGGATATTCGATTTCAATCGAAAATATTTTAAAAATCTTGAAATTATTACACCACAAAAAGTTCTTTCTGATACTGATGTATCAATTTTGCCGCTACTCGACCAATTTCCTGCATTGGTAAATGATGCGGACAGAATTGAATTTAAATTTCGCAAATTAGGGCTGAGTGCAGGTAACTTCAAAAACTATACCAACACAACGTTTTTGGAATCAAGTAAGTTTGATTAAAAATGCAGTGGGATAAGCGGCCTTTGAAGAATTGTGTGATTTAATTCATGACATTTTTAGTCTACTCACAGTTCGCAGCAGGTGAGCACAAATTTTTTGAATTAGTATTAGTAAAAACGAAATTAAGAAACAAATTATAATTTAAAACTTAAATAATATAATTTTTTAATATAAAATTTTAGTACTCCTTGGATGTAAAGTCAAAAAAAATCGTTATAAAAACTGAATTGGTATATTTTCTTGGTAAAAAGGAATAAAATCCACTCAATTTCCCGATGTAATAAAAATTGGCCCATTTTCTACCATTTGGTCCATTTTTTGGTCCGAAAAATAAATTGGAAATGGCAACCGGGGTTTCGATGTGGAGGCGCTGTCACTTCAACTGAAGTTGTTCACTTCACTTTGGAAGCCTTCACTCCAGTTTCCTTCGTTTTACTTCACTTTCCACAAATTAGATTTATCTCCAAAATAAACAAAAATTTTTTTGAAATGTATGACTTATTTCACCAAAATCAAAAATCTTTTTCTAAAATTCTTCTTAAGTAGAAGATATGGCAAAGTAACTTTTCGCCAAAAACTACTAAAAAGACACCTTATCTGATCTGGCATCGGTTATTTCAAGGCAAAACTTTTCGTCAGTTTACACTGGCTACACACGATGAACAGATCCGCGTACATGTGCGCCAACATGCTCGCTGTCGTTTGCTACAGACGGTGAGCGGCTCATAAGTGATTTTGTACTCAAAGCGTTGACATGGGGAGTAAAGACGCGGATGATGCAATTGAAATACTTATGACTTAGGTGTTTTTATGTACTTATGTGTTACTTAAATTTATTTATATTTTACTTGTATGTATGTACATACATATATGTACATATAATAGTAATTTAGCCTCATTTATCAAAAATTCAATTAGCGCACATGGCTTGGACGCATTTATCCGCGATGTGCACACTGCAAGCATCAACACAAAATGAGGTTGTTGTTTTTGTTTCCGGGCTGGATTTCCTTTATGGCTGTTCGTTAAAGGGGCGGTGGGCGAAAGGTAAGTGGGCGTGACACCTCTAACCCACCTTTTTGGAGAGGGAATTAACCGCCATTGACAAAAATGCAACCCCCGACCACCTAGGCCCCCTATGGTTCCCTAGGGACCCCTTAGAAAAGTCGCCAAAAATCACAATTTTCATTTGCGTTTATACGCTTGAAAACTGTTAAATATTCATATTTGCACAATTCATTTTTATATACACATTTTTATACACAAGACATTTTTATAAAACACGCAGTAACCAAAATAGACATCACTGGGGCGGCAGCCCCAGGTTTACCACACAGAAAAGGAATTCTAGTTACCTCATCTTTTCCCAAGGTTACATCACCGCCCCAGTTAGGTCACACAGAAAGGAGAATTCTACGTAGTAAGGGTTATAATCCCTAAGCGCGGCCGAAGGCCGCCTACGCAGAAAGGAATTCTACGAAAAAATACTGTGGACGCAAGTAAAAATTGCGATTTTTGGCCATTTTTCTAAGGGGTGCGTAGGGAACCACAGGGGGCCTAGGTGGTCGGGGGTTGCATTTCTGTCAATGGCGGTTCATGCCCTCTCCAAAAAGGTCGGTTGGAGGTGCCACGCCCACTCCCCCTTTGCACACCGCACCTTTAAGGAACGGCCATAATGGAAAGTTTCCCCTTGTTTGCAATGCGATGCTCGCAAACCACGCTACAAACGACGAGCATGCTCGCTGAAAATAAAAATTTTTTAATTTTTGGCGAGCATGCTCGCAAACCGTCCTACAAACGACGAACATGCACAGCAAGCCGAGCATGTGCGCGGATATGTTCGTCGTGTGTAGCCACTGTAAGGAACGCAACTAATACTTGGTATCGAACAAAAAGTATCGAGTATGTACATGTATTTACCCGTATCGTTTCATCCCTATATGTAGTTGTATTTACTCGCATCGTTTCATCCCTATTTGTCTTAAGCTTAAAGATCGTAGTTATTACGTCCATTATAATATTTATATATGTACGTAGAACACGAAAAAATATTGCGGTATAAGTTAGATTTTTAAAACATCGAATCCCCATAATGATTCCTGTATGGCAAATGCTGATCGGCGCTTGTGTAGGCCTAGTTGTCTTGGTACTAACTCGACCACGACCGATTGGTTATGATCAAAAACGCAGATATTCATTTAATACGTGGGTTTATCTTTTGAAAGTTGTTTTGAATTTTTTCGTTAATAATGATTAACTTACTGACTTACTATTGAACATTTTAGCACGCCTGAGGAAAGCTGCCCAATATGCTTAGATGAAATGACTAATCGTGGAATGAGGTACCTGCCTTGCGGACATGCGATGCACGAGAAATGCTACGAGGAGAGCCAGCGAAAATTGGTACGGAATTGTCCCGTCTGCCGCTGTCCTCTGTGAAATGTTATGTTGAGTTGGGTAATTTTTATAAAATTTTATTTAACAATAAAGAAACGCGTTGTTAGACTCTCGAAAATACCATAATGTAATAATATTGTATTACACTATGTCGCCGGCGGGTCGCAAAATCGATTCACCGGCGAACCGCAAAAAAACGATATACTAGCAAACTGCAAAACGATGCTCAAAATCTTTAACAACACTCATACAAATCCAATTTCAAATTGTGTGCAATATTTTATTTATTTTATTTATTTATTTATTTTTTACAGTCTGTTAGACTTATATTGCAACAAAGATTTAACATTCTTATAACTAGATTTTAGATTTAAAATGTAAATATTAAATATTAAATACAAAATACAAAATGCTCTACAGAAATTTTTAAATAACATTATTTCTTTATCACTGCAATTATTTTATGTCAATATAAACGCATGCAATTTCCTGGAAGTTATGTAGACGGTTGGAAAGGCCGAGTTTCCAATCCGCGCTATTCTTTTTGGGTTACTCCATTTATTGATATCTCCTGGGTGGTCAGAAAGGCCGAGTTTCCGATC